CCTGACAAGTGTGGATCTCTTAAACACCTCTTTTAAATGTGATAACTATGTATTGTTTTGACAGATATTAAACATCTATTTGTTTATTTTGTTTTTTATTCTCTTTGTATACCCTCTGCAAACAAGTTGGTGAGGATACGTAAGAATCCTCCTGTCTGTCTGTCTGTCTGTCTGTCTAGAACCCTATAAGCGCGAGTTCTTCTACACTGTCAGATGAAATTTTATTGAAACTTGATTGTACAAGAAAGTCTACCATTTTAAAACATTGAATAGCATCAGAGCTTGTGATAACATAATACATACATCGACAGAACACTTATACGTGCCTGACACATAGGTATAAACCATTCCTTAGTCAAAATGAGGTAAACATACTTCAGAAAAATCAGAGTCAAAAGCAATCAAACATTATTTTCAAAAATAAATAAATAAGATAAAATAAACCCTATCAATCGACTCCATTTTTTTTAGACAGAGACAGAAAACACATATTTCCCCTGGTAAGACAAAGATGAAAATAAGAAGTTAATCATGACAGTCAGCCAACTTTCTCAAGTCATAATTAACAGACGACAACTTACTCTGACATGACGAAAACATCATTTATAGTGATTTTCCGTGTTTTACCTTGCCGGTCATATTTTCTTTAACTTACCTAAGGTATTTCATGTCAAACGACGTTTTCATGTGTTTGTATGTCAACATACAATGTGGCGGGTTGTAAACTAGAGGTTGTGATTTCGCGTTACCACATCAAAGAAAATACAGGCATGTCGACAGAATCTTCATTAAACTCCAACTCCGTGAAAATTGGGCAAAATATGAACAGAAGGAGGTATACATGGAGATTTCTGAAAAGTACAAGGTGAACAAGACCAGGGGTTCCAGAAGAGTAAGACTCCTCTGATTCATCGGCGAAACCCTCCATGTATATATTGGTCAATCTATGTAAGTAAGGTCACGTTCCCGAATGAGAACAAGGTTAACACAGCAGAAACAACAACAAACTAACGAGCATCAGATAAGTCCGAGTCTACTAGGAAGTAGAATATTTCCAAATGAAATCATTATGACGGACACAAAACTTTCCCAAAACTGTTATTCATGCTACTCCAGGTGTGAGTGAATTGGTCAGCTGCCGAAATATGAACGGGAAATTTAGAAAAAGGAAATCGAAATGATCACGTTTATCACACAACTTGTCGGAGGTCTGACGTGTCCCTGATTTCCAATTCTGTTCTGTGTGTATACAACGGACGTGATCAATAGGGGGAAATCAAAATCTGGAAAAAGTCTGCATTTTACTAAAACGAACCGTTTGGAAGTAAGCTGTTCTCTGGTGTGTTTAAATACAAATGGGATCCTTTAGAAGTAAATATACAACAGTAAACTTGATCAGTTAGGAGACTGCTAATACTTATCTAATTCAGGTGGCTCTACAATCCATTACCGGTTATGCTTATGGCAAGCCAACTTATCATCTATTCAAGGAGCCATGTCGTTCATATTTTACTTCAATTCTTATAGAACATAAGAAATCTTATATAATATGGTGATACACAAAATCGACATTGACATCGTAATAAATCATAAGTTGACTTGCGATATACGTTCCTTGGACTTCAACCACGTGAGGAATTGTTCGTTTTGAAATAGATAATAAACGTACTATAGTGTCTCTCTCTGTCTATCTCTCTATCTCTCTCCTTCTCTCTGTCTCTCTCTTTGTCTCTATCTCTCTCCCTCACTCTGTCTCTCTCTGTCTATCTCTCTGTCCCCCCCCCCCCCCCCCGCCTCACCCCACCCCCCCTCTCTCTCTCTCTCTCTCTCTCTCTCTCTCTCTCTCTCTCTCTCTCTCTCTCTGTCTCTCTCTTGAACAATGGTGCTTATCTGGAGGAACTTCGTGAGTTACACAATATGACCGACAAATTTGATCAACTTCATCAGCTGTCACTTTATCACTAGAATGTTTCTCCACGGTGTGACACACACCGAGTCTGACATTTCTGTCGTGAATTTTCCAGCTTGTTATCTACGTGTTTCTACTTGTCAAATATCAGATCATGTGCCTTCTAGTAGCTATGATGACTCTTTACTACCGATGAAGGGAAGGTGTGAACGTTTCAAGTACTGTATTACTGAACAAAGTATTGATAGTATTGTACTGAAGTACTTCACCAATCGAATTCTTTAAATTTATGCAACAAGCTCTCTGATTGGCAGAGCCAAGTCTAGATCGATTGTGGGTGGAGCCAGGTGAAAAAATACTGTGCAGACATCGGGATTTTACAAACACTCGACTGTCGCGAGAGGTTAATTGGAAGAGTCCAAGTCACAGGTGGCTTCAGATCAGACCTAATTGGGTTGTCCCATTTGTTTCGTTCTACACCCAATGATACCTTGCTTTTCCATCGATGGTACAACGAGAAAACGAAAGTTACTCAGTACTAAACTAATTTACGTACAAAATATATATCAACAGGTTAGATCACTGGGACCGGAGAATTCATAACATCTTAACAGTGATTATAGTCATATAGTCATTCTGTACTAGTTTTATTTATTTATTTATTTTTTTTGAAAGGGGGGGGGGGGGAGGGTTGGCTCAAAATATTTAGGTTTAAGCCCAAGCTCTATTATATGTAACAAAGAATTACGATTTACCTGGGACCTCCTGATATATGCCGATAATTCATACTGCATTAAAAAGTAAAGGAATTCTGTGGTCCCATATATTTTTTATTTTATTTTTTATCTTTCCATCGAAAATTATACATGTCCGCAACATGTGAAAAAACTTTGAAGTTGGTTGGGCGAAATGTCTAGAGCATTTACTACTGCAAGTTCCAGAAATTCTGACACAAGTCGGGTATTTGCCCGAAGCCTCTGTCTCATGACATTGAATACATATTCAGTTACGTTGTATCCCGGGGAATAAGGCGGCTGAAAAACCAGGGACACGCCATATTCTTTCAGCATATTTCTTAAAATGCGCTCTCCCTGTCTATGGTGATGGAATCCACAATTATCCATCACAACCACATCGCCTTGTACAAAAACAGGATTCCCCATATCGTTCGTATCGGACATAATTTCATCGAAGAAAATTTTGCGTACTGTTGCCGTCGTCGGACATTTTTCCAGCGATTACTTAGTAATTGTTATGTAACTGATAGTGTACATTAACTCCGCCTTCCGGAACAAATTGGGTGTCAGATCAACTATTCAGGTTGTCTAAACTCCGCCCCCGACCAATCACAGAGGTCGTTGTATACTTGACTCGATTATTTGAATACTTCAATACAATAGTATCAATACTTTGTTCAATACTATAGTAAGTGTGTCGTTCACACCTTCCCTTCATCGGTAGTAATATGTTTTACGAATATTGTCCATACTGACCTTCAAATACTTTTATTTTTCAAAATTGACCTTTCTCTTGAATATCAAAATTTAGCAAGAAAAAGGCACTGTTCTTCTATACACCTTTCCCAACATTTATCATAACTCTAAATCTGATGGCCTTAACAAAAGGATCTTGAACAATTCGACATTTTGAACAATTGCGACCTAGAAAGTGAGTTACTTACTTTTATGTAAAAAAAAAAAGAAAAGAAAAAAGTTTTTTAGCACTCCATAGCAGCTCAAGGCACCTAAACCAAGTGGCAGGAACCTGTAGTTTTCATTTTTATAGATGAGGTTACATGTATATGCTGAGAAAAAAAGTTGAAATACATGTACATGCTAAACCTAGTGGCCCCGTGACGTGTCTGTTGTCATATTGATATACGCCATACAATGCCTTTAAAATTCCTGGAGCTGTTTTCTGTCAACTCATCAATATTAGGTACGTCTTTCTCAGGGAAAATATAGCTGATCTATAAAGTAATTTGATGATTATGTCGCCGATGGCATTCACCCATTGTATATAACTGCAGGTACTTATAAATGTAGCGATAATAAATAGTAACTCAGGCTTGGCGGACTAATGTATGTAATGGCAGAAAAGCTTTTTAATATATTTTGTATAATTTAAGGTCGGGGCCGTGTATACCTTCAGTACTATACTCTAATATCTGTTAAATTCTTGCAAATTTTGTAAATTATCGCTCAATTAAATAACGTCTCAGATACAGGTGGGAGGCCACTGTAAGTGTAGATGTCACAGTCGACTAAACATCATGTCGGTCGAAGTGAAGTTTTTATGACTCAGCAGTGATCGGTTGACTTTTCCTTAAATTCATTTTATGTACATGTACACTTGTATGTATGTAGTCATCAGATTTTCCGTGGACTAGATAAAAAAAGTTACATTATCATGATACGATTCTGTACATCTCCTGATCTTAAGGTTAATACATGCGTGCGACATATAGTAACAATAATAACAACAACTCAGCAGATACATCTCTTCATTAGATCGAATAATTATAATCGATGACTAAACATACAAAGCATGTTTAGCACCTAAATGTTCCTCTTTATACGAAAAATAAACTTTAAAACTCACACGAATTAATTCATATACTACAGACTTGTTTTACATGTAATAGTTTGTTTTCATTTACGTTTGCTTAAATTAGGAGTTACGTCCATGTTTTGTGAATATTATCTCCAGATTTAGTGTATTTGCTTCAAGTACAGCAGTTTGTAAATCAGATACACTCGAGTCCTCTGTAAAAATATATCAAAAATATAATTTCATCTTTATTTGAATAGTTCAAATGTTTATACCTGAATTTTGACAAGGAAAGGTCATATATCAACAAGTATTTTTTTATTAAAAATCAATCCTTCGAATATGCATTTAGCTGTGTGTGTGTTTTTTGGGGTTTTTTTTTCTCTCTCTCTCTCAATTGACCTATTTTCCGGAATAAAACTACCTTCCGTTTCGGATGTTGTAATATAAATGTATACTCAAGACGAGGCTGCTACCTTTGACCTTCTCTATCCGGTCTTCAACAACGCGGTCGTGCAGACGAAATATACGGAGACTTACATAAGATTTCTTTGAAAATGTCGGGAAATAGAGTTGTCAAAGTCGGCTCAAGGAAGAGTGAGGTAAGAAAGTTATACATATTGTTATGCTGATGTATAATTCTGCGTGTTAGTGTCTTTTATAAACGTAAACATCATTGCTGTCCCAAATGTTGACACGTGGTGTTCAGGGATAGAACACGAACTTGGTGAAGATAAGATGTAGGCTGAGCTACATGGTCCGTTTAGCAAATATTTACACTGGCAATAATGCTCCGTGTAGGTAATGCATACATTGCTGTGAATTATTGTACTTATTTAAGAATGGATATAAATCTGGGCTGGTCATATTTAAATTATATATGGTTTAATTTATCATTGAATTGATTTCGATTGTAAACATGTTTCTAGACTGCCTAAGGCTGTGAGACCTTATGATTCAGCCTACTAGCCAAGTTTAGATTCATCGAATGTTCCCTGAATGCGGAATCATTCGCCCTTAATCATCTTAATATTTGTGGTAGAATCTAAAATACGCGTGGTATGCAGATAGCAGTAATAAACTGAATCAGTGATCGTGTCAAAGTGAAGCACACATAAGATATCATGTTGTTGACAAACATACTTTTATAGACTTTAAAGGAAGTTACGAATTTACTTATCCCTTCAGGAAATGATTATTGTTAATACCTTGTGCCACATGTACAAAGATCATAGTCTCAGGTTGTGCTGTGATTATCCTCTGTCAGTACTGTTTTAGTATATCAGTTTACTTTGAATACAAATGGGTCTAATAATATAATCCAGGAAAAGGACATAATTGACAGTGTTATCAGTAGTGACATTAATCATATGATATGAATAATCCAGTTATGAAATTCTGGATATTAACCCTTTACAAGCTATACACATTTGTATGTTAAGTACAATGCTACAGTATTTAGAAGAACAGAACTTAATTAGTATACAATAAACCCAGGTGATACAGCTGTTGCTGTGGTATATTTGTATACCACTCAGCTAAAGAGAACTTGAATTGCAGCTTATCCAGTAGAGCATAAGACTAGTAAATGTGAAATGCAACACACAAGGGGATGTATGGTTCTATCCTCTAGCAGATGTTTTAAAATGAAATAATGTACCACTGCCTAAAGTGTTCAGAATGAATGGACAAAAATACTTAGCTCTGGCCAACAAGCATATCTGTTCCTGCTGGAAATCTCAAGAATAAATCATTTTTTTTCCTTGAAGGGGAATATATAGTTCTGGTAAAAACAGCTGAAACATAATGAAAACAAAATAAATCTTCTGTTTAGCTCATTCTGTTTATTGCTATTTGTATTTAGCAGTGTTTTACATATATGTTGCAATGTTGTTATGATTATCATACCCCCAACAATAAAGTTAGGGGAGAGATATTCTGGAATCAGGTTGTCAGTAAGTCTGGCTATCGGTAGACATATCTTTTTTGGTCAAGTCTTCCTAAACTTGTGAACCCATTTTGCAGAAACTTCATAGGAATGTTAAGGACCTTATAGATGTGCACGCAAAGTTTTGTTTAATTTTTTTCATATGAGGGGGTATCTTAGTCTGCCTTTTGATAACAGTTCTAGTTGTACCAGTCATTAGAAGTTAAAGAAGTGCAAACTGACATCCTTAGGTGTGATGAATAGATCTTTTACCTGCATGACAGTAATTAGCTCTGACAGCTTTATTCTCAAATGAATTGTTTGATTCTACAAAACACAAAGCAATGATCTAAAATTTAATCACAACACATGTATACAATCATAGTCAACACAGTATATAATGAAGGCCACTGTTGTACCTGCTGGATGATTGTCTTGTATAAGAGTTAATATTAGCATATAATGTACTTTTATTTAAAACCATCAAGCTGTACTTAGGAAGAAGATTCTCCAATTTTAGGCTCAATGTTAGATGTAAATTGATAATTTTGAAGATTTTTAAAATCCACCAGAGAAACAACTGGTCTCAATGTAATGTATAAGTTAATCAACAGCAGTTATACAAATGCATATTTCTGGAAACTGAACTTTTTAATATGAACTTTAAGACAATTCTAACAGGTTGTCTAAATAGTGCCTAATTGTTAAATGATGATGATTTTTGACAGCTGGCTTTGAAACAGACAAACACAGTTATCAACAAATTAAAAGAGTACCATCCAGATGTTACATTTGAAGTTGGTGAGTATTTCATTTTTCATAAAATGGCAGAGAAACCCATTAATTGATAAGTGTGCTACTGGTTAACAGGTGTATGTCCTATTATAATGGATACGTAAATAAGAAACTTTATAGACGTTTCTTATTTTTTAAGTTTCATTGTTCATTTCATTGATGCAGTGGTGTAGTAGAAATATGATTGGTAATTCATAGTTTAAACATATACAAAACATTTTGTCAAGTTTTCATGATATCAATAGAATTGCTCATCAAATTTCACATCTTGTCTGATCATGCCATATGTGAACTTCATTGGCAATCATGTTTTCAGTTACCATGGCCACAACTGGAGACAAGATTTTAAATGCTGCTTTGTCAAAGGTAAGTATAGTTTAAGAGTAACTTTAATAAGTAAACCCATGAGATTCTATTTCTGATTTAGAAAAAACAGTGTGTAATCAAATCTTTGTTTTTTTATTCCATATCAGACTATTTGTTAATTTGCTATGGAGTCAATTTGGAGTCCCGATTCATTATATTGATGGCTAGGAAGCCAACAATGGTATTAGGTATTCTGATACTCTTTATTATTTCCAAATAAATCAGCAAATACACATTGTAAATTTTGATAAAAATTGTAAAAACACAATACCAAATTTACAGGATGATATAACGCATAAAGTACACGTGCTTAGAATTTGTATTTTCACTTGTCAGATTGGAGAAAAGAGTCTTTTTACTAGGGAGCTGGAGAATGCTCTGGAGGATAAATCTGTTGATTTTGTTGTGCACTCTCTCAAGGATCTTCCCACCAATCTTCCAAAGAACCTTGTGGTTGGATGTGTCTACAAGTAAGTATATGCAATTTCAAGTGTGACTTTTCATGTGCAAAATGAAGCTTTCTTGTATCACTATTTTGGAGGAGCCAATGGCTACAAGAGTGTTATTGAACTAATGTAACATAGTGCAATTTTCTTAAGATTTCATTTTACACATTTAAATCTTATAAGAACAAGAATCTATCAGTTAATTGTATTTGTGACACAGGAATGAATACAGATCTTTATGATAATAGTCCAATTTTCAAAATTAGCTGAGAACCGAGTGACAAAGGTCAGGCAATTTAAATTTGCTGTTGGTGATTCTTTTGTACTAAATGTTGTGTTTTATCATGTCATTTTCCAGAAGAGACAATCCCTATGATGCTGTGGTGATGCACCCAAAACACAAAGGGAAGACACTCCAGGATCTACCAGATGACAGGTAGGTTATGTCTGACCTACAGACACAGAATCACTCACTTTGGAGATAGCTCTTTGTTGTAGTCCACACTGGGTGTTTTATTACAATAGTTTAAGAAAAGACATCTTCTGTTGTAGCGTTATTGGAACAAGCTCCCTGAGAAGACAGTCTCAAATTGCCAGGAAATTCCCAACATTTAAGTTTGAAAATATTGTATCCTTTTGAAAAAGATGGAAATAAGAAAATCAGATATCATAAATACATGTTTGTCACAAATGTTTCTTCTCTGTAAATCCTGCCTATTTTATGAGAACAGGCTAGATTCCAGCTGTAGAATCAAGGGAGACAATAATCATACTATTCAGCTTTACTACATTTGCCATAGGTAATAGATAGAATAGTCATGTATAAATGTGTAGATATCACTAACTGCTACAACACATCAACAAATGTAGAGCCCTAATTAAGACTCCAACAGTTATATAATGAGTATCCAGACTATGTTTAATTAAATGGTAGTGCTAATTAGATTGTAACTCCAGATATTTGAAAAATATTGATGAGTATCATTGTTTTATTAATTATATCTGTCACTCCATACTGTTTGTGATCATAAGTCATCCTGCAGATCTATGTATGATACATGTATAACAATGCAATTCATACAAATATATAAATTTATATGTATATCTGTTGACAATGCAGGCTCTCATATAAGGTAGCCATTGTGTTCTGGTTATCTATTTAGACATCTGAAGGAAACACAATATGTTAACTACTTAGAATTGATGCACTTGAATAAAAGTGTGTAAACCCACAATGAATGAAAGTATGATAAACCTAATAGATGTGTACAGTATATATACAAGTATGTACAAGTTGGGACATTAGCAAGCTGAGTAATTTCAGGATGACGGTAGTATACTTAAGATTTAGATAATCATTAAAATGACATAAATTCAAGACTCTTCATGACTGAAGTTACCAGCAGAATGTAGCAAAGGTAATAACCATACAATAGTTTATGCCAGTTTGATAATCCCTTACAAATATGATGTACCTTAACTGTGATCTAAGCGAGGTAATGTGAACACACGACTAAAGAAATTAGATGACGACAACAAATATGATGCAACAATACTTGCTGTAGCTGGCTTGGATAGGATGGGATGGAGTCACAGAATAGATCAGGTATACTTCTAGTCTGTTTGTCCTTCTCCAGAGAATGATTTTATCAGAAAATATTGTTTACTGCCACTTTTGAATCAATACAGTATTTGAAAATTTAAATATTGTTCCATTTGATAATAAAACCATTCTAACATATGAATTCAAGTATCAATAAGTCTGACAATGAGGGAGTACCTTAAGGTATATGTTATACCCTGATTTGTATTTACTGATCTTGAAGATCAATTCACAAGTAATTTCAATTATAATGTAAACGTGGTTGGAGTTCATAACATAAGCATTCTTTGGTATTATAAATACATGTCTAATCATATTATTGCATTGAATTGTTCTCTACAGGTGTTGACCCCTGACTTGTGTATGTATGCTGTGAGCCAGGGAGCCATGGGTGTGGAGTGCAGGTCTGATGACAAGGATACTCTGGATATGTTATCTGTTATACATGACAAAGACACAGTCCTACAGTGTGTTGCTGAGAGGGCCTTCCTTAAGACTTTGGTATGTCATTCATTTCTCAGGTTTAATTTCAGGTTTACACATGCAGAAGTGAACATAATGATATGAAGAAGTTGACTGCAAAAGATGTGTTTGCATAAATAGACTAAGTGTATTTGTCATCACTCATCAGCATTACTTTATCTGGAATATATACACAAATGTGATACATACATTTGGTTGGATGATTTTGTATTCAAGTCAATACATAAATCTATAAACATAAGATTTTTTATACATATAATAAAGCACTTTTAGAAAAACCATTATATCCAAACAATTTTTTATATAAGTAAAAGATAAGTTCAGTATGATTATATTTTACTTAACCATGCATTTTGAAGATATATGTCATATTCCTTTGGCTATTGAAGTAATATCTTTGTATGATAGTTTATTGATGAACTGTTAACTATCCTCTGATGTCCATTGTTTGTCTTTTTCTACAGGAGGGAGGGTGCAGTGTACCAGTGTGTGTGTTTACTGAGGTCAAAGACAGCCAGGTAAGCAGTCTCACCTACAATGTTTGGTTCTCTAGTTTTAGTGCTTTTAGTGTATCATACTGCAATACAGACTATACTTTACAAGCTAGTGTGGATATGGACAAGTGATATATAAAGAGTATATTTTTAAGTATCATTCTAACAACAAGTTACTTTGGCATTAATCTGATAGTATTTTGGTTCAGTATTGTAGGATTTTTGTTTACATAGTTTTCAAACTGAAATAATGTTGGAGAACAAACACTGATGATGGCTATTTATTTCTACAGCTGAATATAGATGGTGGTGTATTCAGTATTGATGGCTCCAAGCACAAGATTGTTCATGTGTCTAAGGACCTCTGTCCCGACCAGGAGCCAGCCAAGAAGGTAACCAAACAAGATCAAGATGATATACTTTGATTTTATTGTAGCCTTTGATGTGAATTATCTCTTATAATAACACTGTATATTTATCTAACAATAATACACTTATGGACCCCAACATGTCACCACTGACCCAAAGTTGGGATTGGCTTATTACAGGACCGATAGAAGTAGTATTTGTTAGTATTTTACTGAGTGACAACAGGACCTATTAACAGGCATCGGCTGGGTGCCAGATAATTACAGTAACAAGCCAAGACAACATTATGACCAGACTGATGTAGTTCAGTAAATGATATGAAAATAATACATAACAAACATTATTTCAATGTAAATGCTCTGTTTTTCAGGTTTGTCGGACAGAAAATGGGAAAACTTATGCCAGTGTCGTGAGTAATGGTGTTTCTAAAGAAGAATTACAACTCTCTGAGGAGGCTGGAATAGAGTTGGCCCGTTTGATTTTAGACTCAGATGCTGGCCATATTATCGCAGAAGCCAAAGAGGAAATTCGCCTTGCAATCATTGAAGATAATAAAAAGAAAATGGAAGAACTCAAAAACAAAGAAACAAAATTAGACAACAGTTCAATAACAAATACAGAAAAGGGATCATAGAGATTAGTTTTCTGAGAAAGTGGAAAATTATTGTTTAAAAATGATGTATTTGTAAAAACTTTGTTTATTATTGCATTGTCATATATATTTGTAAAACTGTACATATCTAATCTTATTCCTGAAATCAAGTTTTATATTAAGTTTTTTAAGTGTTTTTTTGGAAGATGCATTTGAAATATTCCAAACGTTACTTTTTTTCTTATTTTTGTAGATATACTTTTTTTTTATTAGATTTTATGTATCTGAAACAAGACTCTCAATTTTAGCCTTCTGTCAACATTTATAACAATATTCTGCTCTTTTTTATTTTCTCCAAAATTAAAAATTTTGAATGTGATTAAATTTTAAAAATATAAAAATGTGTATCATTATAACATATTGAAGATGCACAACAACCCTAATTAGTGTGATGACAATGAAAGTAAATGAAATACCAATACAGTGCCTTTGATAATATTACCATTTTTGTGTTATCAATTGTTTTGTTTTGTTCGACAGGAAAAAAGATGTTCAGCATTTTGAACACTTTTGCAGATACTACAGTTTAAGTATTTCATATTCCTTGTACTAATATAAACAATGTCTTCAGTGAACTATGTTATCAATAATTTAGGAGTTTTTTTTTGTTTTTGTTTTTTACATTTGATTGTAGCAATATTTTCAAGTAATGACCACCTCTTTTTTAAGATTTTGATGGATTAACACATTGTAACAGAAACGTTAGCTCATAATTGTTACTATTTTAGATGCTTAATAATAACTGCATTTCCAAATTAAAGTGTCACTAAAAATGGCATTATCAAGACTGCTTACAAGGAAACCAATAGCTGATTAAAAAAGTCTGCTGCTTGTATGAGGCCATCATGACATTCCCAAGACCTAGTATAAGATTCCATACGCTGTTACTTGTATTTTATTTAAATGCTTTCTATCTTGAAAAAGAAATAAATTGGTAATCATGGCTATTTATTGAAAAGTTTGGAAAAGTCTGCTTTCATATTTTTTTTTATCAAATGGCTTAAGGTGCTATAATTGTTGTATCATGGGGGTTTTTCGCCACTGTCTGATTTTCACCATTTTCTGCTTGAGGATATGTAATATGGCTAACTACTAATTCCATGGTGAAAAAACCTGTTGTACAGTATGTCGAAAATGGTACCTAAATATCATGGTGCTAGAGTAAATTCTGACCAAGGTTATAGGGTCAGGTGTGCATTTTACATTTCTTGTGTATAAAGAATTTTGCTTTTTGTCACAATGTTTTTTATAATATCACAGATCATGAATTAAAATATCATTTGATAGGTTGTTATTTTCTACAAGTATTTTTGGCATACAAATTTTATTCTTGCCAGTTTATGCAGTTACTTTGGGGCATCAAAATGTTCATCATTCTCCCAATCTGTTAACGCTACCTGTCCTAAAGCTATTTCATACTTATTCTGATATTTGCCTTCAAACATTTCTTGAAGAGTTATGTCCCTTCTATTTAAAAAAGTTCATTAGTATAACCAGCGATCAGAGATCTCAGAAAAGCATACATTTCCATAAAACTTTAAAAAGTAGCATTGTATTGTAGGTAAAGATAACTTCAATTTCATTGTCGGACTGATTTTCATGGCAAGAACACAGGAGCAAGACAATATAGTTTTGATGATAGTCTGTGATTTTCACTTATATCAGTTATTTTCCTTTTTCTTTTTTATGATTCCAAATATTAGAAGTGAGGATTGTACTAATTGTCCTCAATCTATTCTTGTTTTATAATATTATATCTAGTGTTAATTGTTAGTGTCTTGTTATGTACGGTGTTGAATTTTATTTTTATACAAGAGTATGTTTTGTATATTAGCACAACATATTTGTAAGCATTGAAATTATTTGCATTTAGACGGACAGATTTTTTTCTTATGAACGTTATTATTATGACACTTTTTTACATATTAAGTAATTGTGGACTATTTAGCTGAAATAATTGATTACTTGATTTGAAATTTTTAAAAAAAATGTCTTTATTCATGCACACTGCCTCATCCTATAAGTATTGTGGTGATTTTCACCATGACAGCAAATTATACAAGTGTATATCAATCTGTTATAAACTTAAAAAAAAAGAAAAGAAAATTCTCAGTGTTTTACTTGCATGGCACGTAGTTCAGTCCTTCTAGTCTTTTTTTATCATCATACCTTTAAAATAAACAAAAAAAAATTCAATTATATCCATGCATTATACTTTTATACTGACCAAGTTGAAAATGTCAGGGTATTCATTGATTTTTCTCATTATGGAAATCTCATTAACCAGGTTTACATAACTTTGCATTTGTGTGTATTAGTTGCAGATCCTGTCGAATCTACCTTACAATGCTTAGTATGTACCAAAACGTTTGGTGGGAGTTATTTCCCTTTACCCTTCAAATTGCACTGCACTTTCCCAAATAGGAATACCTCAACATAAGTTCTGGTGATGATAATCATATTCATTAAGAAACGAATGTCAAAGGTGAATGGCGTCATTCCTTATAATCAGAAATAAATCATGAAAACTGTATGTTTGTCGTAGTATTTATCAGGATTTCATTAGAATAAACATAGACTTTTATCATGTGTCCTGTGTGAAATTATTGATCCCTATTTAATTATAGTTGAATCCTTTTATTCGACTCTTTGATCAATGTCTACCAATATATACCTGGTACATTGTTGTAACCAGTCTGATGTTAACAGTACCATGGGTGATTTGGATGTTACAGCTTAAGTTCCTGATTTTAAAAAAAAATCATGGTACATTTGTGATATGAAGGGACAATAAAACCCACTCGCCTCCGCTGGGGCTGAAACCTTCGACCCCTCCTGTCTCTAGCCGGACACCATATAGCATGATTAAGGGAAAATCCCACTTATCTCGACTTATTATTTACTGCTGTATATTATATGGGAATATTTGTCCGGAAAATGAAAAAAAGCAAAAACGAGTGAAGATTACTTTTTATTTAAACAGACTGAGGATACTTAAATTACCATCATTGGAGCACAGAAGATTGAGAGGAGACATGATCCAAGTATACAAGCTAACACATGGAGGATATGATAGTGCTGTCTCTGAGGGTTTACTGGTCCCGAACATTAACAAAATAACACGAGGACACAGTCTTTCTTTATTAAAAAGGAGAAGCAGACTGAATTTGAGAAAGTACTCCTTCAGTGAGCGGGTGGTTAACTTGTGGAACTCCCTTCCTGATGCCGTTGTCACGTCACCAACAGTCAAAACATTTGAATCCCGATTGGATAAACATTGGAGTAATTCCGATTGCATTTACAATCATGAAATAAACAATAACAAACTTATTCATCTTCGGGAAACTTGATAACTCAGATCTGGATATATATAGGCTTTAAAAGTCTGCGTCCAGAATTATTATTATTATTATTATGGCCTGATTGATTTTTCAAGGAAATATGGTAGTAAAGGGAGATTTCCGCACCAAACTTGAATTCATGTCTGCTCTATATTTATGGACTCCATAGTTAGGTGACAATATCATCAGTGAATGTGTGATATCATTTGATTGTCTAAGTGACGTCCCATTGAGTTATATTATACATGTGCAATACGCAACAATATGTATATTCACTAAATAACAAGACAATCACGTGGTGATTAGTATACGACTACATTGATAGACAGGTCAATACCGTAGTTATACCTGTATGTTTACAGACCTGCGATATGGAGGTTAATGTACCAATGTTGTGACATTTTTACTTGTGGGAAAAGACACTTCCTAGTAACAGTCATGGTTTATTTCATTACAATGAATATAATGTACAGATAGAGTACGATGATCATTATTGTCATCCTTCTACCAAATGTTTTGAGTACGACGTTGGTGGGAGTTATTTCCCTTACTTTGAAAACCATGCAATTCATGTAAAAAAAATAGTCTAGAACGTTTTACGTGCCACTAAATAACAGCCTCTGGATTTTAAAAGGCTATATTCATAATATGATAGATGTCTATGTCAATGTTTCTGCACTCTAAAATGTAGATAATATTGTCCAGCCGTTTTGCTACAATGCTGTTTTTCAAAAACGCTTACAAAATTTTAGTTACTTATTCTATTTCTCTCCCAAGTGAAGTATAACAACGTTCATTCACTGTACTTCAGTACGGGGTGATGTGTTTCGGTCGGAAACATAAAAGACACTACCCAGACGGAAAGAATGGATTTACGTTCATCAGTTAATGGGTGAATAATGAAAAAGTAAAGATCTATATTCTGTCGTCCGACTGAAGTATTCGAACGTAGACATTGCATCTATTAACAGATACTTGTCAACATCGTCATGAAGTTAAAGAGCGTAAGATATATGGGCGTGGTTAAATACCTGCTAACGTAATTCACTTTCACGTAACGTAATTCACATTTTTTATCGGATTATTTTTTTCATATATTTTAGTATTGTTTCTCACCGAAAAATGAGCTATCCACGGCTGCTGTTTCAAAACGACTTTCTAAAAAACAATTCTTATCTGTTGAATTATAAATATGTCCTTTACATAGTATGCATTAATGAAAAAAAGATGTTGGAATGTGAACTAAGATAAGTCAGTGACAATATTTGTGATGTAGAGCTGATGTGACGTGGTTTTAATGTTCTGATGCTTTGTATTTCGCTCGCGATGTTAACGGGTCTGCACTTTGAAATATGTTTACACTCCGAAATTTAAAAAACGAACAATACAGAAGGGAAGTACACATCATTGGAACCTAAACCTCTACCAAGGCCATTGGACAACTATATGGTAATACCAAAGAGCAAAATTATGTAAACTCTATATTATAGCTTATTCTGTGTCGACCTGACACACGGGGGTTTTATAATGATCAATTCGTGTGCATACAGCATGTTGCAAAAGCTATAGGCAAATCCACAAATTCAACCATAGAATTTCGATTTGCTCCGTTCTCCTTTTACTTTCAGTTTCACTGTTATCAGGTCACACGAGACAAACTCTCCGGGTGACCAACTGCGATCCACTTTTGTTTGGCGTCGTGCGACGTAAACTTTTTCGACTTCTGGAAAACTC